GGCTAAAGGAGTTAATTCAAACACTCAGGGAATAAGTACCATGTCAAAAGCTACCCTGCACATTAGTGGGAGTCAGCAATGGATAAGATCTCCCTCTCTTCCCTCCAGGAGTTTACAATCCAGGCAAGACCTCCATGTAAAGACTTAACTACAAAGTCAAGGGGAAAAATTAGCTAAGTGGAGGTACCAGTCAAACATCGTGTGGGAGAAGAATGAGGAGTTAATTCTGAAAAACAGGGGAAGCTTCTCATAGAAGCAGAAGTGTTTAAGCCAAACCTTCAGTATTAAGAATTCTGACGGAAGAAAGAGCCAGAAAGGACATTCCAGAATAAAGGAATTGGACAACCAACCATGAGAGCAGCCAGAGGTCTAGTGTTGAAACACAGTGACGAGAGAGACCCAGTAAGAGATCAAGCTCAAGGTTGGAATGAGGCCAGCTGGCGTAAGGTCTCATAATGATTTCCTAACCCTGAACGTGACTTCTCAACAGGGAGGGCCAGGTGGCAGTGCCTCCAAGGGAGGGCTCTTAGGAGTCAGCCCACCTACCAGCAGAACCAGCCATACCCTCCCCGTGTGACGGGGGGCGGGGATGCTGAGAGCCTGGTGCACACTGGGGAAGGCGTGCTATGGTTTCGTTCACATGTTAAATCATCTGTAAAGATGCGGGAGGACCAGAGACAGAGAAATCGAGGCCGGTCAGCAGCAGGCTACTTAACTGAGTGACGAGGGCCTGAGGAAAAGGTGGGTGAAAAGACACGTGGAGGCAGACGGGGTAAAAATCTGTCAAGAAACGGAAGACGCCGAGTTTCCAGCCTGGGTAATGAGGACGAATGTGCTGGAAGTAAGGCCTCTCACTAACTTACAGCGGAACGAGGACACGCAGGACACAAAGTATGGCCACTTTAAGTGACACGACAACAAAAATAGCACAGACAAGACTGCTCTCATTTCACAGAACAAAGAGACTAAAGTCCGAGAGGGATGTAACCGCCTTGCCCACAGTGCCCGGGGTGAGCACTGCGCCAGCACAGCCGCGGCTTCCATTGCAGGCCGCGTGCTCTCAATAACCCTCCCAGCAGAAACTGCTATCTAATGGCTTGATAAATCGTGTTTAAAACCATTTTAATAAAAGGTAATCTGCTGGGAGTGCGATTGGATTTCAAAGGGAAGGTGTCCTGAAGCGTGTGCCCTGGCTCCCTCCGCCCGGAGCAGGTGCGGCCGCCCCGCGGCGGCAGGCAGGCTCCTGGTCCTGGCAGCTGGACAGATGGGAGGCGGCTGTTTGTACTTCGTATGAAGATGCCACTTGGAATCACATGAGAGGCCAAAAATAACTGAAAAGAAATATTCTAAGTATTAACTACCTTCAACGCAGTATTACTGCGTTTTGAATGTTGTGGTTGGTACTCTGATGTTTGCTATTAACATATCTCATAACAATAACACACTACATAAGGCGATTACAGACTCTAGCAAACATTTGAACACTTTCATGTTTGAACTCCTGAGCAAGGTGTTGGGGCTAATGTAACACAGCCAGGGTTTAACGTACACAATGCAACACGATACAGGCAATACTGCAAGTAAAAATGGAGGGTTATGACTGTAGAAAAGAATAACTCATTTTACAGGATTTCCAAAGGACTCCAGACAGGACGCAAAATCAATCAGATGTGGGCTTTTAAAAACTGGAGGGGAGCACTGGCCAGTTTGACTCCTCAGCCCGCGGACTGAAGGGTCTCGAGTTCGATTCCTGGTCAAGAGCAGTACCTGGGTTGCAGGTTTCATCCTGCAGGTTTCATGCAAGTCAGGATACGTGTGGGAGGCAACCAATCAATGCGTCTCTCTCACATCGTGTGTCTCTCTTCTCTCCCCTCACCCCTCTTACTCCCTCCCTTCTAAAATTCAATGGAAAAAATATCCTCGGGTGAGGATTAACCAAAAATTTTAAAAACTGGGGGTGATGGGAGTGAGACAAGCATTCCAATCAGAACTGAGGCTAAAGCAAAGAAGGAAGCAGCAGCTGGCATGTTCCGAGACCAAGAGTGGTCCTGACTGGCGGCACAGTGTGGAAAGGGAGGAAAAGCACAGGCGAAGTTCAGAGACGTCCGGGGCCAGGCCACGAGGGGCCGTGAATGTGAGGCTGGGGGCCCGGATTCCACTCCCCAACCAGCAGGCAGTCTTAGGAGCTTTCTGAGCCAGAGACTGGCAAGATCTGATCTGTGTTTCAGAAAGATGACTCTGGTGGCCAGAGAGGAGGAGGCGGTGAGGAGCCTGAAGATTAAGCTGTAAGCCAAGAAAGGAATCAGAAGCTTTGAGACATTGGCACTAACCTAGTACTTTTAACGGGGCTGAATGTTGCTGAAATTATTTCACATCTCCCTTACTTGATCATCCCAACCTTCCTGAGACCGGTATCGTCATTATTCCCATTTTACTGATGAGAAAACTGGCTCAGAGGCCACTAATTGTAGCAAGTGAAATGCTGCTAAAACAGAGGAAATCCAGGCTCGGTACTTTTCCACACTGGGCAAAAAATTTTTAATCCTTTTGCTTTTGAAAAACAATACTGCTACTGTAAAAGCAGAGTGATCTATAAGATCACTAGAGAAGTATTAAAAATCCATGTAATTTTCCCAAATGTTTGCAACTTCTGTAATAAATAAGCTAATTAGCCTTAAAATAGTTATAGATGTGCTTTCTGTTAACCCCGTGTTAAAGACCTGTCCTTTAAAAAATGAACAAAAAACCCCCTGGTACCTCTAATCCCACGTGCTATGGAGTTAAATATTTAAGAATAGTATTCTGCCCTCTATTCCAAGTTCAAGTAGCCAAACTGGCATTTCATTGACAAAACCGGCTTACGTAGAAACCAGTGCACCTGTGCCCCAACTGAAGCCCTAAACTACTTTTTGAATTATTAAAAGTTCATTATTTAGCAGGGCACAGCAATTGAATATAGAATACAGGGTGGGACAAAAGGTTTACAGTTGTTCACATGGAAAGTAGTACCATAACTAAGTAACAGTAAAGAATAAACTCGGTGTTTCATGAAGGCACACCTTCACAGCTCCTTTTGCCCACCCTGGGTAAGAAGTAACTGCAAGGAGCTTACCTAATTCAGAAAAAGTTTGTCACAGAAGAATAGCATAAAGATCCGGAGACCCATTCAAGAATGGATGGTTCCAGCCCTAGCTGGTTTGGCTCAGTGGATGGAGCATCTGCCTGTGGACTGAAGGATCCCAGGTTCCATTCCTGGTCAGGGCACATGCCTGGGTTTTGGGCTCAGTGCCCAGTAGGGGGCATGCAGGAGGCAACTGATCAATAATTCTCATCACTGATGTTTCTATCTCTCTCCCTCTCCCTTCCTCTCTAAAATCAGTAAAAATAAACATATATTTTTAGCCCTGACCGGTTTGGCTCAGTGGATAGAGTGTCAGCCTATGGACTGAATGGTCCTGGGTTCGATTTTGGTCAGGGGCATGTACCTTAGTTGCAGGGACATCCCCAGTGGGGGGTGTGCAGGAGGCAGCTGATCGATGTTTCTAATTCTCTATTCCTCTCCCTTTTTATCTGTAAAAAAAATCAATAAAACATATTAAATATATATGTATAAATACATATATACATATATATATATACATATTTTTTAAAAAAAATTTTAAGTGGGTGGATCCAAAACAACTGATGAGAGAACATCTGACCTTCAGAATGCAGAGTGGTAGGTTTTTCCCTCTCCCCTTTAAATTCCAAAGTCTATGAAATGGTCAAGATGTTCTGGCGCAGGCCTTACATTACAGAGGAGAAATCTGGATTACTCACAACACCTATTATCAAAACTGCTTGCCCCCAACCCACCTCACCAAACTTCTACCACCGTTTTGGTTTTTTTTTTTTTTTTTTTTTTTTGGGGGGGGGGTTAACATGCAAAGACCCAAAGATGTCAACCTGCTCAGGAACTTGGGAGAAGTATCCAGCCTGCATATCCAAGGGTCCAGCCCAAGTAATTACTGGCAGAACTGCATTCAGTTAAATCATTCCGATGGCCCGCATGCCCCCGCCCCGCCTCTCTGCTGTACTTTCTACCCGCTGACGCCTCTACAGCTTCCCCGCGGAGGGCAGGACTGAGAGGTGGCGAAACAGAAATCAAAACTGGGCCCGTCCGTTTGGGCGGCTGCAACCAGGAACGCGCAGGCCCCCCCGTCGGTGCAGCCCGGGCCGCGCGCTCAGCCCCGGGCCGGCGCGCCGCAGGTCCCCGCCGCAGCCGCCTCTCCCGGGCGGAGAGGAGCGGGGGCCGCAGAGGCCGCGGGAGCTCGGGAGCCAGGGCTCGGGACCTGTCGCTCTGGCCCCTCTGCCGCGGCCAGTGACTCTGCGGGCCTGTCATCCCCGAAGGGAAGGCGGCCGTAACCTTCGCCAAACCTTGTGCCGCGCCCGCCCCGCGCGCGCCCAGCCCAGGCCCCGGCCCCCGCCAGGCCCTGCCCCCCGCGCGCCGCGCCACAGGCCCGCGCGCCCGTCCGTCAGGCCGGCCCCGCCCCGCGCAGCCCCTCCCCGCCGGCGGCTTCCCTCCCGGGCCCCCGAAGGACAATGCTGGCGGGGAGGGGGCCGCGCCGGAGCGCCCACCCGCGGGCCGGCCGGCCGGCCACGCCAGGACCCCGCCGCCGCCGCCGCCGGGGGCTCCGCAGCCTGGGCCCGCGTCCGGCCCGCGCTCACCTCCCCCCGAGAGCCGCTCCCAGCGCCGCGACACCGGCCCATTGTGCGCACTCATCGTCCGCCCCTCGCTCTCCCGGAGCGCGGTCCTAGCCGGGCCGGACCGGTCCCCGAGCCCGCAGCCCGCCGCACGCCGGGCCGGGCCGGGGCGCTCGCGGAGCCCGCGGCTCACGGGGCGGCCCGGCCTCCCTCAGGCCGGCCCCGGAGTCCCTCAGCCGCGGCAGCCCGCCGGGTCCCCGCCCCGCCGGCCGGCAGTCCGAGGGGCCGCGCCCGCCCGCCCGGCCTCCTCCCGGTACCTGCCGAGCGGCTGCGGCTGGCGGCGGCGCCTCCTCTCCTCCGCGGGCTCCGAGCGGCACCGAGCGCCGGCGGCCCTGGCCTGCGCCTTACGTAAAGCGGCGGCGGCCCCGGCGCCACTCGCGGAGGGCGGGAGGCTGCGCGCGGCGCCGCTCCGCTCCGTTACCCGGCAACCGGCCTCAGCGCGCCGCCGCCCGGGCGCGCTCCGTATCCTTCCGCCCGGCGCCGGGATTACATCAGCGCGGCCCGCCCCGCCCCGCCTCCGGCCCCGCCCCCCGGCCCGGCGCTGCGGGCGGAGGCGGGCGGAGCGCGCGCGTGCGGGCCGGAGCCCTGCGGCCGGGGCGGGCCGGGGGCGGGACCGGGGGCGGGGGCCGGACGCCGCCGGGAGGTTGCGGGGCAGGAAGCCCGCCCCGCGTACGGGGCGCAGGAGAGGAGGCGCCCCCTCCGGAGGGGCGCGCGGGGCTGCTCTTTGCAAAAGCCCTCCACGCCGCCGCCGCCGGCCCCTGCGGGGGGGCGGGGAGTGGGGCTGGGCTGGCGCCGCCTCACCCGCGGCTCCGCACCGCCCCCGCCTTCCCGGGCGCGCGCTCCACCTGTCTGTCTGCGCCCCCTCCTCGCTGCGTCCTGGGATGGCTAGAGTGGGCGGTTTAAAATAAAGACTTTTCATTTAAAAAAGGAAAAGAAAAGAAAAAAGACAAGCGAAAGGGCTGTAACGTGGCTCTTTTTATTAAGTAGGCAAAGATAAATCTGGAAGATAGCGGAAGTGGGACCCAAAAATGTGCACTCGCCTTCTAATAAGCCTCTTCTCACCCACCCACCGTCCCTAAATGCGATTCCGACTCCGAGGCCTGTCCGCAGAAAAGAGATCATTGGGTATCACAGGAGCCCGGGAGGAAGGAGCCGGGAGGACCTGCTTACAGAGGAGGGGGATTCAGAGGGAGAGACCGGTCTGGGGTCCTTATTCTCTGATTTGTTTATTGCGCTCCCCCTGGGTGCCAGGCACCGAGCTTTGCAGCTCAGGACTTAGCCAAGGCCCGCACCAGTTCACCCGCTCTTGCGGGACGCAGTCCTCTGGGCTGGGCGGGGCAGGGCGTGCTGGGGGCCGGAGGTTCAGACCCCGACAGCTAGCATTGACACGCCACCTACAAAGTGGGCTTCTGCAGGCATCACTTTCATCCTTCAGAAGAACGCTGGGTCCAGGCATTAGCATCCCCGTTTCACAGGCGAGCAAGCTGAGACTCAAAGAGAATGAGTTCACTTGAGCCGTGAGTGTGGGAAGTGGGCAAGGTCTTTTGCCGTCCCTGAGCCATGCCGCCCTCTTGCAGGAGGCAGGCCTTGACCCCAGGCTCCTGGCTCTGAGGTCTGGGGCCTTTTCCTTTACACAGCTCTCCCCAGGCTTGCTCACAGGCGTGCCCTCTGAGTGTCCATCTCACCATGCATCACAGGGCATTCATGCCATCCGTGTGTTGTCGGCACCTGTGGTGGGCCTGGCTGGGTGCCAGGCTGGGGAGGCCCTAGTCTTTTGGAGATCAAATTCTGGAAAGGGAGGAAGGGGAGGAAAGAGGGTGGGAAGTCCAGAGGGATCTGGTCAGCAAAGGCGGGGCAACGGATGGAGCTTCTGAGGCTAGTTCCCAACTGCCCCCAGAAATCACAGACTGGTAAAATGTCCCCCTCAAACATTACAGGGGTTTACAGAGTGTCAGCTTTTCATTTGGCCACATTGGTAGCACTGTTGTCATCCACAGTTCATCATTTTGTGAAGGGACTTGCTAAGAGGAAGAAAAAAAGTAACACTGTCTCAGAGGAAAGGAAATAGTAGCAACTTTGTAGCCGCACGGATTAGAGAAGGAAGCTGGCCTGGTTACTTGGTTTCCCGCTTCAGATGGTTTGTTTTGATAAAAGTCCTGGAAGGCTGGCTGAACCCCGCCTCAGGGCCTTTGCACTTACCAATTCCTGTTCATGAAACCCTCTCTCCCCAGACCTTTGCAGAGCTGGCTCCTTGTTCAAGGCTCAATGTCACCTGCTCAGGGACACGCTTTCAGGTCCCTCCTGAGTCTGCTTTTAAATGAGTGATGTCCAGGTCAGAGCCCCCACCAGAGACGCTCCCACAGCCCCCCAGGCACCAGTGCTCTCGGTCAGGATTCTAACTGGTCATCTCAGCTTGGACACTGTCCGTCAGGGTGGTCCACTACCCTCCCAGGCCTCCCCCGCCCCCGTCCTCCGCTTGCCCTCTCCGCGCCCTGCACTCCCTTTAGGAGTGGTGAGGGCCGCTCCAGCATGTGAGGAGCTGAGGTCCTGCCTCTGACACTGCCTCGCAGGCTCCGTGACCTGCACAGGGCTCCGGAGCATCTGGGATGAGAGGGAGAGAGTGGTGCTGGCCGGGCCTGGCCGCTATGTTCAGAGATGTGGCGCCCCCCACCGGCTCCTGGGTGCATAAATGTCACGTCCAATCATTACAATTTCCAGTTTGTTCCCAGGACGGATGGCTTTTCCGCACTCCTGCCCCTGCACCCCCATCCACAGAGCCCGTCCGGCGGGAGGGAGGGGAGCGTGGTGGGGAAGCCCGGCTGGACGGCTGGGTTGAAGCCGGAGCCTCCTCTTGTTAGATTGCTGACCCGGTTCAGCCGCTCGGTGTACGCACCTGTCACTGACGCCAGCATCACAGCGTCTGCCGGAGAGGCTGTTGTGAGGCGGGTGAGGGAACCCACAGAGGAGGTCACAGCAGCGTCCCGCCCACCGTCCACAAATGCCCGGCCTCCTTCCGAGGCTCCCACCCCCCACCCCCTCCCCGGTCCCCCCTCCTCCGTCTGTCCTTCCTGAGTGATGGACCGCTTAGCCCGGCGCTCCCTCACTCCAGGGTAGGTCCCTGCCGGGCGCACTGACATGAAGGTGGGAGGACACGCGCCTCTCCCCGCCCCTGACCTTTCTCCCAGGCCCCGCCCCTGCCTCTCACACCGCCCACCTTCCCGGTGAGCCCCGCCCAGCAGGCCCGCAGCTGGCTCACGCAATCGGTGCTGCCCCTGGGATTGCACCCCGAGGAGGGGACACAGGTTTACCTACTGTTAGCAGTCGGTGCTTTCGCTGAGCACCTACTATGTGCAGGTACCGTGCTAAGAACCTGTACCGTGTGTTTTCGACCTCACCTACGCCCCCATGAGCCCCCCTTCCACAGGTAAAGCTCAGAGAGGAGAAGTGACTTGGTCAAGGTCACCCGGCTCGGTGTCCCACGGGGTCATCCTCTGCCCTCTGGTGACCCGTCCAGCCACGGCTGCTGCAGGAGGGGTGGGCCCTCTCTGGAGTGGTGAGACCCTGTATGTGGAGGGTTTGCGGGTGGACTGGCCTCTTGGCTGAGACCCCGTGGGGGCGATGGGAGCGATGGCACCGCCTGGACAGGGTGGTTGCCAAGGACGCTTCCTGCCCAGCAGGTTTGGAACTTAGGATTGAAAGGCGGCTAAAACGTGCCTGGCTGGCATGGCTCAGTGGCTAAACGTCGACCTCTGAACCAGGAGGTCATGGTTCAAGTCCCGGTCAGGTCACGTGCTGGGGGTGCAGGCTCAATCCCCGGTGTAGGGCATGCCGGAGGCAGCCAATTGATGATTCTCTCTCATCATTGATGTTTCTGTCTCTCCCTCTCCCTTCCTCTCTGAGATCAATTGAAAAATATATATATTTTAAAAACAGTGTATTGATTATGCCTCAGGTGCTGAGGAGGAGGCAGGGTGGAGGTGGCAGGGAGTCTGGAGCCGGCCTGCCGGTCCCTTTGGGGTGTATCCCAGGGCCTGGAAGTGCCGGAAGCCGCAGGGGCCAGGGTTGAGTTGCCAGGAAAAGGGTGGCCGGTGCCTCTGCTGTCCCTGCGTGCGCCGGTCCACGCAGACCTTCCATCCTCAGTCCCAGCGGGGTGACGTCTGCATGAGTGCGGAGCCCTCGGACTGGCTCCTCCGCTTGTCGGTTGCACAGCCTGGCTAAGCCCCTGCCCTCTCTGAGCCGTAGTGTTCCTGCCTGTGAAATGGGTGCGGGGTGATGGGCCCGCCTGCTAGAGAGTTCGGAGGGAGACATGCTCTGTAAGGAAAATGCTTGCTCACAGTCTGGCACGGAACCGGAACCAGCAGGCGCCCTGGTCCCTGGGCTGGCAGGAGGGTGCTGGCTGAGACTCTGCCCTGGGAAATGCCTTCTCGGGAGCTAAGACGCCCTCACAGGAAGGAGTGACCGTGCTGGGTGCAGGGCCTCGGAACTTCCCCTTTTCTGCTCCCACCGGAACTCCGGGAAGAGGGTGAGCTTGACCGCACTTCGGGAGCCAGATTTCACTTCTCCGGGGCATGGGAAGTGGCTGCTCCCCCCTGGGTCTCATCTTAGCTGCACATGGTGTGACTGCTGGCACATCAGGTCCTGTCACCCGTACCCCAAGCCCTCCAGCCGTTTCCGGGGTCATGCAGAGTAGAGGTCAAAGCCCTTTCCTGGGAGGGCCCTCCCAGCGGCTGGACCTGCTCGCTCTCACAACCACCCCCCCCGCCCCCCCCACACACACCACCATGTGCAGTTTCCCAAACCTGTTCTGTCAGCCTCAGGGCCTTTGCACAGGCTGCCCCTCAGCCTGCAGTGCCCTCCTCCACACGCCTGCGTGCTGGCCGCCTCGCCGTGTCCCAGCGTGTGTCAGAAGGAGCGTGTCCGCTTCCCGGGCTGCAGTGACATGACCACAGCTGGCGGCCACAGCGACAGGAATGTGCTCCTTCACCTCCCAGAGACCAGAAACCAGGCGTCCCCAGGGCCGTGCTCCCTCCAAAGGTGCTGAGCGAGAACCGGCGTCTCTTCCAGCTTCCGGTGACCCGCACGCCCAGGCTGCTGGCCCGGTCACTCTCCACCCCCGTCACCCCTCCCCCTGCCTCTCTGGCCACCGGCCGCCCCTGGGCGTCTGTGTCCGTCTCCTGCCTCCTCTGAGCACTCTGTCACCGGTCGGAGGGCCGCCTGGACGAGCCAGGATGACGGCATCTTGAGCTCCTTCGCTCAATCACAGCCACAAAGACCCTTCTCAAACACGGCCCAGCACAGCTCCCGGGGACCTGTCTTTCGGGGGCCACCATTCAGCCCGCTGCATCATGGTCCTAAACAGCACAGCCCCGC